TTTTTGGGATTGTTTTGTCCCTAATGTTATGCTTTGGATTTTCTGAAGATGGATTCTGTTTCTCTTATTTTGCTAACATTGCATGGGTTTTGATTTGATTTTTGTGCTATGGATTGCTTTTTGGACTAAAGAAAGCCATGGGTACCCTCTTCAGAATGGTTTTTGGATAATCTGCGCACTTGGTTGGCCTCCTTGCTTACTCTGGCATTTGCACAAGTAGGATGACCACTTTATCTATTGTTTAACATGTTGTACACAATCTTGCACCCGGTTTTCTGAATGTTACTCTTCTCCAGTTCCAATAATATGTTTTGCCAAAGGGGGAGAAGAGGTTCTGAACCGGCCGAGTGTCAGGTGATTGTGTTTGTCAAAAATTGCCAAAGGGAGAGATTGTTAGTTCTATAATATGTGTGATATGACTTCTATGAGTTGGCATTATTTTTGACAACACACAATCACTAGAATAAAGTAGGTGTAGGTGTCCTTGTTATAGTAAAATTGGTCATCCTACACGCAAACCTGCAGTAACAAGGATGCTATGAAGGTATTGCTCATATTCTCAAGTATTGGCTCGGTGCAGGACTTCTTTACTTTCAATTCTTTGCACGATCAAGGACTCTTACTTGCCCAGGACTTTATGGATCTAAGCACACTTACGAAGGAGTTCTATGCGCGGATGGTTAGGGTTGCAACCTATAGATGGATATGTATAAATATGGCGTTCCAGAGGATGGCACGTAGAGCGAAACAGATAGATATCGTGCTAAAAGGAGAGAAGAGACTGCAATTTTCTATTCATACATCATAAAGGAGAGTGAGAGAAGAAAGCCTATCTTATATACATTCGTGAGGTCTGTATGAGAAGATCAGCCATGGATCTTCTCTAAGGATTGTTCAGCCGTTGAAACATGGTTGGCTGAGCAAAGGTTAGTGTCACATCCTTTTTGCAAAGCAACGAGAAGGTGTAATAGGCCTGAAGTGACACAAACTGAGTTTGGTGTCAGATCACGTAAGTAGACAAGTCAATTTAGTAGAAGAATCTTTTGAGATTGATTGTGTAATTCTTATGTTGATCTAGTGGAAAGGCTATTACACAGATGTGGGTCTCGCAGACGTAGGAGAGTCAGCTCTGAACTGCGTAATCAAATCTCTGTCTTTACTTGCTTTTGGTGTGTGTGTTTGCGCTAGTGTTAGAAAGGGTGTTGTAGCATTCTGTGAGTCTGACAGTTGAGCTACAACGCAATTTCCAACAACATTCTATTTGTGTTGCATGTGAGTCTATTTAGTTAAAACACTGTGCTCTGTGTGTGGAAATTTCACATCTGTAGTGAAATCCTTGAGGAAAAAACTTTTTAATAAAAGTTGAAAACTTTATTCTAGAAAAACCTGGGATTAATTCCCTAAACCATACGGAGCAGATAAACATTAAGTCGTGGAAGCAAGAGAAAAACCGTAAGTTCAGTCCATGAATTTAAAGTGCAAAAAATGTGGGTTCAAGCCAAAAATGATTGGAATAATATTAAGGTAAAAACTTAGAAATCCATGATTGACCGTCCATACATCTCCTCACTCTCGTTGCCCTCCGGGATAGGTTCCATGTTCATTGTGCCTACATGCGTATAGCAAAAACAATATTATACGCTCATCATAAGATGAGTGGTGAACTAGCTGTAGGAAAACATAGTGATAAACTATATAGATACACCCACATTCATACCTGTTTTTAACATACGGAATTTATATAATGACCAAGTGTTGTTATTAAACCTGTACTTAAAGTACGAAATTTTATAAGGACCAAATAGTTCACATATTGACCAAATATTCCATACCTGTACGTAAAGTACGGGAACCTCATAATGATTACATGAAATATGATGGATGAGTTAGACTATGCAGGGACCCCCTACGCTCCGACGTCATCCCACAACAGTGATGATTCGGGCAAACCTTAGTCTCTTGACGAGACTAGAAATAATGGGTGGTAACTGAAACCTAGTTACCATGTACGTACACAAGCCCTCCAAATTAATGAAACCCGTTGGACGCGAAGGCTCCTGGACGGGCCCGCAATAAGAGGCGCACTAGGCCTTACCTTTCAAGCAGATATCCCATTATATGAATGATCCTATATCATGCGTCTACAACATGCGTGACTTATGACCTCGAAGACTTATTTTGAAAATTAAGTCTCGGTTTCCAATCTATGTATATCAACAATTCAGTTATTGGTTTTATTTTGAAAACACTTTGATTTGGACCTTGGTTCTTAGCATGATTATCGTTAGTTGGGTTCTGGAGTAGCTGATAGTCGATTATCTAGTGTTGATAATCGATTATCAAGCTTGGTAGTTTTTGATCCCAAGGTTCCGCAGCACCTGATAGTCGATTACCCGCACATGTCAAGTGTTGCAAAAATATTCATTAGCCACACTTATTTTAAAGTGCGGCAAAAAATTCCCCACATTTACGTAGCCACACTTAGGTCATGTGTGGCAAATCGTTTTTTCCACATTTATAAGTGTGGTCAATAACCATTTTAAGTGCGTCAAAATACCAAATTTCTTGTAGTGGTATGTTTATAAAAATTTTAAAAAAATAAAAAAAAATTATACAATGTATTAAAAGAGCTTTTAAAAAAATAATTGACCAATGAAATGCATCCACCTCATTAAGGGGTGGATATATGGATGCATATGTGGCATGCCACATGTCAACACTACAACAAATAAACTAAACTTTAAATGTATAAACTAGTATTTTTACCCGTGCGACGCACGGGGTTAAATGAAATTTTTATCGATTCTGAAATTTTTTCGATGTAATATTTTTTCTAGAATAAAGAAAATATAATTCTCACATGATTTTCAATATCATAGACAAAAATACCAAACTAGAATAAATAATATTTGAGGAATTAAATGTGTACTCAACAAAATTTGTTTTAATACCAAATTTTCTAAAAGACTTCATGGTGTATGACATTTTTGGTATAGTTGCAAGAGTTTTCATTATCATCCAGAACTAAAGATAAAAGTTTAATCACTTAATGTAAATGATTTATTGAATATTTTTATTCTTAATAATTAAATATAAAAGGATTTATTAAAAAATATTTTTTATAATTTTATTTTCGATCAAAAATAAAAATTTAATCACCTGTCAAATAATGTTTAATGGAGTCTAGCTCATAAATCAAATGCCACATAATATGCCTCATATTTTACCACATGTATACCCCATAAAGATAAAACTAAAATAGGACTTTTATGTTTTTATTACAAAATAAGATCTATAATACCAATAATACAAATAAATAATACTACCTCCGTCTCTGAGTATTTGTCTAGTTTTGTATTTTTTCAGTCAACCATTTTAAATCATTGACCTATAATTAAATTAAGTATATATTTTACATTAATTAGATAATATAATATTTTGAAAAAAAATTAACATAATAAATCTAATCAAACTATTTTTTGTATCAATATTATCTAATATCATTTTTATTTAATTTGAGGTTAAAGTTTACCAATTTTGACCAAAAAAGTCAAAATTAGACAAATACTCACAGACAGGAGTACGAAATAACAATATTGAATGTCGACATAGAGCGCTACATTCTCACAATGGAATAATCTTATTTTAAAGATAAAAATATGTTACTCCTCCTTTTGTAATAAAAATTAGAAAAAATTATCTAAAATAATCTCAACTTTACCCGATCTTTCAAAAATAATCTCATCTTTCACTCTGATGCATAATAGTCCCAACTTTACTGAATTTTATGAGTTTTGGGTCGCCGTTAAGTTTCTAACGACGGGTTAACAGAAATGCTTGTTTTGCGCAACAAAATATAAGTTCAGATTATTTTAATGAATTTTTGTTTTTTATTTTATTTTTTATTTTGGAATTTTCATTTAAATTTTCAAAAGTACTTTCAACCTCCATTTCTTTTTCTTTTTTAATGATTGTTCTTAGCTTAGAAAAAATATAAAAATAGATATAAAAAATAATAAAAATGAGAAAAACAATTAAAACCATACAAAATTAATGAAATAAATAATTTAATCAATAGAAATTAAAGTAAAAATGGTAAAAAAAATAAAACAAATATAAACAGAATGGTGGGTTTTAACATTTTACGCACTATATACAGAGTTTTCAAGTACTACTTTTTTTTAAAAAAAAAGTATAGGTTAGGTCGTCCAGTAAGTTGGAATTATTTTAGGGTAATTTACCTTAATAGGACTAAAACATAATGACTTTCTTGATATAGTACCATATTTAGGGAATAAAAAAGTTTAAGTTCTACATTGGGAAATGACGTATGTTTTAGTCCTATTCAGTGCAAATTTTACATTATTCTAGATAATTTTTTCATAAAAATAAGAAATGATACGTTAATACTTTGTATAGTACGTAAAATATTAAACCTACCACTCTGTATATTTTTATTTAATTTCTTACCACTTCCAAGTTAGTTTCCATTGATTACCTTATTTATTTTATCAATTTTGTATCGTTTTAGTTACTTTTAATTGTTTCTAATTCCTTCCAATTCTTTCAAATTTCTTCTCGTTTCTTCCAATTGTTTTTCATAATCTTCCAACTTCGTGTTCTGAATTTACAATTAAAAAGAATAGAGGGCTAGTACTCTCCTACTAATTTATCCATTTATCCAACAAAGAGTTGACTTTTAATGTAAACAGTTTTGTTTAGCGCAATTAAAACAAATAATGAATGGATGTCAACTAGGATAGGACTAATAATTCTCATAAAGCACATTATCATTCTTTGCATTTGCATATATGCATTAAGAGTCATGAGATTTCCTAACCCCCATGTAATCTAGTAATTTATGAGAATATTAAAAATGCTACTAAAATGAGCTCGAAACTTAATGGCCATACCTATTAAAACTGTGTATATATAGTCTCTCACTTCACTTCAATCTTTCCATTATTCTTTTTCCTCCTAATCCTAGCTATACATTTCAGTTTTTTATGGCCATGGGAATGAAGAAGGCTAGCCTTGGCAGGCAAAAGATCAAGATGGCCAAAATAGAGGTCAAGAATCATCTTCAAGTGACGTTCTCGAAGCGGAGGTCCGGTCTATTCAAGAAAGCGAGCGAGCTCTGCACCCTCTGTGGGGTGGAGATTGCCATCATCGTTTTCTCCCCTGCTGGAAAAGTATTTTCTTTCGGGCACCCGCACGTGGAATCGATCATCGACCGGTTCCTCTCAAAGAAGAATAATGATAATAACAATAATAGTAGGTGTGGTAGTTACTCAGAGCACCCAGATGCTGCGGTGGTCAACCTGGTGGAGGCCAACCGCAGTGCCAAACGCTGTGACGGTGAACTATGTGGAGGCCCACCACAGCAGCCAGACACTGCGATGGTCAACTTGGTCGAAGCCCACCGCAACGCGAGCGTCCGCGAGATGAACATGACCCTGACTCAGATGATTGCGGAGTTGGAGGCAGAGAAGAAGAGGGGAGAGACGCTCGACGAGATGAGGAAGGAGAGTCGGAGCCAGTGTTGGTGGGAAGCCCCGATAATCGAGCTTGGCTTGGAGGAACTGGAGCTGCTGAGGAATGCCATGGGGGAGCTAGGCAAAGTCGTGGGCGCTCAGATAGCCGAAGTCGTCGACGGTACTTCTAAGCTATTGGCTATGAACAACGCAATGTTAAATGAGTTTGCAGCGGAGACGAAACCGCAAGGGATTTTGGTTAACAGTTGCAACAATGCTGCTCATCATTCAATGTATAGCTTTAGATTTGATCATGGGTTTTTCTAGTCTAGTCTAGTCTAGCTATATATAAGTCGTTAAATAAATAGGACCGATTCGATGGTTCGGTTTATATATAGAGAGAAAGTCAACGTGCTAGTGCCTTACTAGCCAGCCAAATAATACTGTATTTTTTTTTTAGCTCTATATGATCCAGCTCTAGGTTGAATTCGTTCGTCATTCATTTTTCACTATAACATGGCTTGGCAGTTGGCATGGACAAAAGCATAGATCAATTGTTAGATTATTCAAGATAATTAGTGGAAAATACAAAAATTAGGATCTATTAAGAGACAACATTCATTTGTCTTTACCATTCTCGTCCATACATATAAACTGTACATCAAACATTAATGGAGCATGTTATATGTATCCCAAAATTTGTATCTCATTTGTATACCAAAGTTATGCACCACTATTTTAAATGTTCACACTGACACAAAGTTGGTGCGTTAACAAAAATTTACACTGACACAAAGTGTTGGTGTGTTAACAAAAATTAGCATTACACTAATACAAAATGTTAGTGCATCCTTGTACTATACAAAATGGGTACAAATTCTTAGGGTACAAATAGCTTTATCCAACATTAATTAGACACCACAAACACACGTGGAATCGACCACCGACGGGTTCCTCACAAAGAATAAACAAGTAGTCTGATAGAATTTGGGATGGGTATGGACAACTGGATTGGGTAATAAGACACTTGGGTTGAACCACATTAAAAGATTGAATCCAATCGATTAGTTAGTTCAACTCAAGGGCTTATATACCGGGTTATTTTTCTCTTCAAGTTCCGATGTGGGATACTCTTAACATAGTCCAATTAAGACCGATCTAAATCCATCTGATCTTTATTTTAATTTTTACGCACTTTCTCCAAAATAATTCTCATTTGACATTTAGCAAAAATTTGACCGTTATTATGCATATTTATACATAGATTATTTTATAAAACTTTAATATTTCAAAACAGCATTTCAAAAGAAATATTTTTATATCACATTTATATCATAAGAGAATGTATTTATTGCGGAGAAATTAAAGCTTTTGGGCATGAGATTCACGGAGATGGGGATTAACTTGACAACTGAAGACGCAAAGATGAGAATAATCTGGTGGATGATTTTATAGAACTTCATAAGGGGATTTATATGGAGAGAGCTTTTGGCATGGGATTGATGAGGTAATTATCAATAGAGAGTGCTTGAACCCAAAAAGTACTAGGAAGTGAAGAGGTGTAAAGGAGGGTCACCAGCATCTCATTAAGATGTTGATGTTTGCCCTCGGTGACCCCGTTTTGCTCTGGAGTGTAAGGGTATGAGTTTTGATTGAGAACCCCTGATTATTGTAGGAAAAGGCCAAATTTAAAATTAACATATTCACACCCATTGTGAGTTCGAAAAATTTTAATGTCTTTTCCAAACATATTTTTTACCATGGATTAAAAACTTTGAAAAGAACCAAAAGCATCAAATTTATGTTTGAGACGGTAGAGCCAAAAATAATTTGTAAAATCATCCAAAAAGTTAATACTCCCTCCGTCCCAAAAAGTCTTTCCTGTTTCATTTTTTGCGCATCCCATAAAACACTTATATCCCGTCTTGAATGCAAAAATAACTTTCAAAATAACTTCTACCCACAATAAAGAAGAAATGTTGTAAATTTTAGGCATTTTAAATGTCGGTAGAAGTGTTTTATGGGATGAGCAAAAAATGAAACAGGAAAGACTTTTTGGGACGGAGGGAGTATAAAAATGATAACTACCAAACAAAGCGATAGAGGTAGGACCCCAAATATGAGAATGTATGAATTGCAACGATGTAGTGGTAACAGAACTAGATAAAGCAAAAGGTAATTTATAAGACTTTGACATAGAACAAGAATCACAATGAAAGACATTAGATAGAAAAGAAATGCCTAATTTAGAGAATTACAATCTGGTTACTTGAAAAGCCGGACAACCAAGACAAAAATGCAATTGATGAGATGTTGTCTTCAATGAATTGACCACCAGTGGAGTTACAATCAAGTCAGTTTTAGCTGGAAGGGTATACAGTGTATAGTCCACTCTCACATGGGCCTCTCTAGGTCACTGTAATGATATGGTTATCCAGGATCATATATTCTTTAGAAGTGAAGAGAAGGGAACAATTATTATCTCTGATGAATTAGTGAACAGATAGAAGGTGGGTGTTTAAGTCAGGGACATCAATATAAAATACTCCCTCCGTCCTGGAGTATTCGTCCAGTTTTGACTTCTAAAATTGTTCATTTAAGCACTTTGACTCATCAAATTCTCTCAATGTGTAAGCTTAAATATAATCATGTGTGATCTTATTTGATTTGTCTTAACATATAGATTATTAATATATAATTTCTATAATTTTTTAATATACAAATTACAAGATAAAATGGATTAAAGAAGTGTATTGGATGGTGTGTAAAAATGAAAGTGGACAAATACTCTGGGACGGAAGTAGTATTTGATATGGTAAAAGCACATGTGGACGTAGTGACTTGTCCTGAGCCAAAACGAAAGATGGGTAAAGACTGACCGCGAGTCATGAGAACAAAATTCGGCCAACAATATGGAGTCGGGTTAGTCAACTTTGATAAATCAAATGTCACATGAGTGCTTGCACTAGAGACAAGGTGTAACACCCCAACCCGCATAACCCGAACCAACGAGCTAGCAAATCAGGTTGTCACGAATTTGTTATTCACATGCACAATATTTTAAAAACATTTAAAAATAAAACATTCATTCATATTTATTTAAAACAAATCATCGTTTAATCGGAGTAAATAAAACAGACGTTGCGGAAGCCTTTAAAACAATATCATTAAACATTCTTGTAATTCAATTAAAATAAAGTGAAAAGAGTCATTAATCCAGATTCAATAACTTCGGGCCATCCACTTCGCAAGGCGTCACTGTCCAGGATGCTTGTCTGATCCATGATCCCTACCTGCACGCATAGTTCACTGAGTACGGGAAGATCTAACGCCAAAACTCATAACGGCTTACAATCATAAATATACACATAAGTACCTTAGTCAACCATTCTTTTTCATGTTCATTCTAAAATAAACTCTAATCCGCAACTTAGACTGGGTCTTAATGTACATACATCACTACCTTGGTGGATCCAGGCCACCTCCGATGGGTAACAAACCCAATCGGTCAGTTCCTCTTGTATGATTATGGTGGATCCAAGCCACCTCCGTTGGGGTTCCAAACCCATCCGGTCAGTTCTAATTTTATTATTATGGTGGATCCAGGCCACCCCCGTTGGGCTACTAAACCCAATCGGTCAGTTCCAATTTTAGTATTATGGTGGATCCTGGCCACCTCCGTCGAACTGCTACGTTCGTCCGGTCATCTACAGTGAATCCAAGTCACCTCCGTGGGACTACTAAATCGCAGCACACCAAACAGTAAATTTATGTTAACACCATTAGCCACCAATAATAACTCAAATCATGCTCTTATAATTTACAGTTCGACATTCACATACAGATAGATAATAAGTATTCTCAAGATAGTTATCAATTGGCACTCAACTGGTGTAAAGCCTAATACCAATTCCTACCCAGTACCTACATAATCTAACAACTCGAAATTGGGGAGGGTTATTACTGGCACTCATAAGAGTAGGGTCTGGGGAGGGTTTGTATACGCTTGGACTTTGTTGAATGACCCTTCTTTTCATTGAATAGGAAAACCATTGTTTGGTTACTTTGGTTTTACTTTGCAGTCTTTTTGGTGCCAATTCCTTCACATTGTATGATTTTTTATGGATCTTTGATTAGAATACTGCCATCAGATCTTTCATTTTGCCAAAATACATCAAATTGGATGATCTAAAACTGTGAAAACTGAATGCTTGATAGTGTTTTTTTTTGAGTTTTGATTAGTGAAGGTGTAAGCTGTCTTCCATTTGCCTTGATCTGATTTGGTATGATTTTTGAAGATTTAGTATGATCTGATTAGATTTGGTGTGATTAGATTTGATCTGGTAATTGTAATTATATTTAAAGTTGTTTTCAATTTGATCTGATCTAATCTGATTTGGTTTTAATAAGAATAAGTAATAAAGAGAAAAAAATAAGTGAAACAGAACAAACCCTAAGGGAAGTTAGGGAACCCATAAAGGTGCTTAGTTTGAGGCTATGTGGTTCATAAATATTCTTTCTCTACAGGGAAGCAATATGAGGAGGTATAAGGTTCAATATGGCTGTCATCGTTAACCTTATACGTTTATACTGCAAATTGCAAACACTACTCCTAATATGTCTAACTAATTTTGTGATTGAGTCATCTGGGAAATGTTCCTTCTTACCAGATTTGCATAGAAATTAAAAGAAAATCAAATGATGCTTCTTTGGTTCTCATAAAAAAGGTTGAACTGGAATCATACTTTACTTAGAACTCCAACTCTATTTTTCCTTTTCATGCTTTCCATGGAAAGTGCTTGAAATCTAAGTAAGGGTAAGTGCCTCAAGAACATGAGGTGCAAAGAAGAAATGAAAGATTAGTGTATTACATATGACAATGCACAGAATCCAAACACTTACAAACCGACCCACTTTGAAAATAAAGTTTTAATGCACTAAAGAGTGCACAACTTTTCATGTCAATTATCTATTTCTCTCTCTTTCAATCTCTTCTGATCTTTGTTTTTCGGGAAAAAACTCTCTCTCTCTCTCTCTCTCTATCGGCTTAGTTTTAGCTTCGTCCTTTGCGTCTTTGATCTATTGCATAGTTCATGCCTTTTCTCTTCCTTCTCTCATTTAGGCCCCTCATTTAGTTACTATTTTTTAATCATGTTTTGTTGTTGCTGTGTTTCTTGTGAAGGTGAGGTATTCACATGAAAACTAGCCACAACATCATTATATTGAATGTTGTTTTTTCATTTTCTTGTTCTTAGTATAACTATACTTTTGACACTCTATAGACGAAGACAACAACAAACCGATTAAAATCTCACTAAGCGTGGTCTAGCGAGGGTGAGTGTACACAAACCTTACCTTTTGTGGAAACATGAAAGTAGAGAGGTTGAGTCCAAGACACCCCTGGCTCAAACAAAGGAAATACAAAAAAACATGTAAAGGAGAGAGATCACAAAGGAGGGGGGCACACAAAAAGAAAACACACATGCAGATACAAATAAATAAGGCATTTAGTCCCACACAAGGACAATAGACTATCCAAATGCCTACCATGCCGGTATACCACTCTGATTCTAGACTTCCAGATGTTCCTATCTAAGATCATATCCTCGGGTAGCTCTTGAAGTTGTAAGTTGTGTCTAATCACTTCTTTCCAACTCTTTTTAGCCTCTTAGGTCTATCCCTACCCTTCCTAATGTCCCTTATCACAAGCTGCTCAAATCTCTTTACTAGAGCATTTTTTGCTTGTATTTAGTACGTGCCTAAACAATCTTAGTCTAGCAAGCTTCATGCAATTTATCCTCAACAGAGGCCACTCACACTGTCCATTAAATATCTTCATTCCAAACCTTGTCCAGCCTTGCATGATCGTACATCCTTCTCAAAATCCCCATCCTTAGTACTTGGAGCTTCTGAACATGTGTTTTCTTCACTGCCCAACACTCCGCTTCACTAATCATGACTGGACTTAGCAACATCCCTCTCAGCTTTGTAGAAATTATCTCGTCGCATGATACTCACGAGGCAACTGTCCACTTTGTCCAAGCGACTCCAATACATGAATACAATGAACAAAATATCCATCAATCTTCCATTAGATTGAATGATGGTTCCAAGGTACCTAAACATGTCTCTTTTTGGTATTGGACGTGTCAAACATCACTTCCACATCCAATTGTCTGTGTTCTGCTTAATCTAAAATTTTCAGATTTAACCCTTTGAGTGCGTGTCAAACTTCACTTCTGGAACATCTCCAACAATCTCCCATTGACCTATATTTTAAAGATCTTTTTCACATCAAATTTACTTTAATTTGGACTTCAAAATCCATCTTTTTTAAGAGTCAAAAAAGGAGAAGCAACTACTCCTGCTAAAACATTTGTCCAAAAGTCCTGCATTATTTATTTGCAATTTCTCTTGCTATTTAGGGTTTATTTTGTTGGCATAAATTAGGAAAAAGAGATCTTCGGATGATAGACTCGCGCATTGGTGGCAACATAGACGGGTAATTGCCACAAATTGCAACTTAAAACTTATCAAGAAGGTTAGTGGGACTATTGGGTATGCTACATGAAAAGTAAAAAAGTTCAAGCTCAAGATTTGCTACTAATGTTAACAACATTATATTTGACTAAACTCCTTTCTCACTTCCAATGCTGGACAAGAAATGCAATTTTTTATTAGGGGTCCTGAAGGTGAAAAGCTTACTGTTGTGTTCCCTACATTTATGATGGTCAGATGGTGTGGTTGCTTTTAGCTAAACTTTCTTTCCATATTTAGTGTATGTTTAAGTACATTTAGTCTCTGAACTATTAGTACCCTTATAAGAATTCCAAAGGCATTCTAGGAACATTAGCCTAAATTATAAAAATGAAGTCCCATACTATGTTTGAGTTCTATCAGTATTATCAGTTCTCTACATTACTCATCAAGAAGTAAATAAAATAAAGTCGTCACTTTCTTTGAAGCTTTTTCTTTTACGCATGCATCCACATGGATACCAAGTAACTACAAACATGAGTTCATATATAAATGAACTTCCTACAAGAACTATGTCCCTTCTTTATTTAGTAAATAGTACATTCTTGGTGTACATTAATGTAGTCAGGCTTTGCATGTGTGAAGTACACCAGATGCCGAAGCCTTATACCACCACTATCAATGCAACTTAACATCTTTTAGCTTTTATGTCGGTAATTGTACCAGCAAAAACAAACTACCAAGTTGAGCCCCACAAGTAGGTTCCAGTGAAGTCCCTCCCACAAGTGGGGGTTGTGGATCATGCTTAACATATACAAAAATAAATAAATAATTTTAAATTTTTATAGTTATAATATTTTAAATAAATTTCCACAACTGAATATACAAATATGTCATTCTTACCAAAAATTGTTATTCTTACCGAAATCGTCTAATATAGCTTTTTATATCATAATGCTCATGTAGCACACATGGTTTTTGAAAATAATAATGTGACTGCCTTAACACTATCCATGTTAGTATCCGTGTATCACTCTTCACTCATGTGTTCTGAAGTCATTATTCATCTCAAATGTGAAGTTAGGCCACCTCAATTTCAAAACAATATTGGCAGTAAGGAACTCTTGTTTTAATAATGTTTTAAGGTCGTGGACTCGTGATGGCCTACCATCACAGTTGAGATGCATAATGACTTTAGAGAACAAGAGTGGCATTGCCACAATGGTCAACGGGGGAACTTCAACCAATTATATTGTTTTCAGGGTGCATGCTTGTTACACAAGCACTATGACATAAGGGCTATTTAACAATTTTGGTAAGAATGAAAAAGAGTGTATATTTATTTAAGTTTAAATTTGTGTTTAAATTGTAAACATAGAAATTATTTTTTATTTTTGTACATGCTATAGCCAAAGTTATCAATGCTAAAAATGTTTACTCACATGTGCAATGATGTTGAAAGGCTTAAGCATTACACAACCACTATGACATAAGGGCTATTTTAACAATTTTCGTAAGAATGAGAAAATTGTATATTTATTTAAGTTTAAATTTGTGTCAAAATTGTAAACATAGAAAATATGATTTATTTTGTATATGTTATAGCTAAAGGTATCAATGCTAAAAATGTTTACTCACATGTGCAATAATGTTGAAAGGCTTAAGCATCAGGTGTACTTCATGCACTCAAAAAATGACTCTTCGAGATAAAGAATGGAACAAATAGCAACTAGGTATAAAAGTCATTATCCATTGTAATATTTAATCAATTGAACTTCTATTTCTAGTCCCAAATAGATGCCAACTTGTGAAGAAAAAACATACGAACATGTATGGTGACTAGGGCATGCGATTAAGTGCTATACACAATAAGTTTTTTTAGTTGATAAACTGTAGATTCACAGTTTGCATAGTTTTGAGCAGTTGTAGTGTTGACTAGGTCAAATTACTAAAATAGATGTTTGGTAAACAGCAGTTTAAATTAGCCATTAGACTCCAAAGCGTAAAATTCTGAAATACTGTTTCAAGTAGTGTCTTGTGTTTGGCTATTTGAATACGGAGTATTAGTTTCCCATACTTGCCCCTTTTTTATCTCAATTATTTTAGATTTACTCATTTGACTTGCCCCAGACCCTACTGTTGTGGGATTCACCTGGGTTGTTGTTGTTGTCATTTGACTTGCACCACATGCTCACATGTTTATGAATCAAATGTTTGTTTTTGGCTTCCAAGAATGTTCTTCGGAATTGGGTAATGTGGTTGGGACTTGGGAGTAAGTATTGGTGGCAGGCATGGATATTAAATTTAGTGGAATAAATTGAAAACGAATATTATATTTAGGAACTGACCAAAAAGGAAAAGAGAAGTTAATTTAGGGATGGAATGAGTGTTTTTTATTAACTTCTCATTCAATGTTTGCTTATTATCGATTTTTGTCAACATGCAGATGGTTTTGTACTCTCCATATAGGAATAATTATATCAATATTTGAAGCGACTAACCAATTGTTAAATAATAACCACAATCGCAGAAGCTATACAAAATAATAATAACAATAGCGGTTTCAAAAATAATAATAATAGCAATAGCAGTAACATTAAAATTATATGCCCCTCCCTTCCACACATGCAAACATTTATTGAGTTTGTGAATGTTAGTTTTTTTCTTGCATGAGAAAGTACAATATTATGCATGTAGCATTTTATTTCTTGTTATATGAATATATGATCCTCCCCCGTCTCTAAAGGTCTTTCTCCTTTCTTTTTCTCCTTGTCCCAAAATCCCTTTCTTCTTTCTATTGAAAAATCACTTTTACCCCTACTAACTCTTACCCTACCTATTACATAATATTTATTAATTAATAATATACACATCACTTTCTACTTTTATCCATCACATGAAGGGTTCAACACAAAAATATCACTCCCTTATCTTCAATAAAAGTCAAAATAGGACTGAGATTTAGGGAGGGAGGGAGTACATTTTATTTTTATTTTCCCATGCCTTGTCCGTGGTGAACACTCTTATGGTATGATGACTATTTCTGAGTGTAGGATTTTGATCCATTTTCGTTGAGCATTGATGGTGATAAACTTTGTGGACGGGGAACAACTGATTGTTTAGGCCATGTTGCTCTTGTTGCTGAACTAATGAGACAGTTGGGAGAAACAAAACCACAACTGAAGTCAACTGTAGTTGCTGTCTTCATAGCAAGTGAAGAGAATTCATCAATCCCAGGGGTTGGTGTGGATGCATTAGTGAAAGATGGATTGCTTGATAAGTTGAAGCATGGCCCTCTGTAAGTAGATTTTACTCCCTCCGTTAGCAAAAACAGTTCCTATTTTGAGTTTGTACACATTTATTTTCATAATTTAATTTAACACACACACACACACACACACACACACATATATATATTGATAGAATTTAGGATAATGTTTGGATAACTAGATTCGGTAATAAGACACTTGGGTTGAACCAAATTAAAAGATTGAATCCAATCTGTTACTTAGTTCAACTCAAGGACTTATATACCAGTTTATTTTCTCTTCAAATTCCAATGTGGGATACTCTTTAACATATATATATATATATATATATATATAAATATATATAAATATATAAATATATATATATATATATAATATATATATATATATATATATATATATATATATATATTCTTAGCGTCAAAAAAGAGAGAGACAAATTACATAAATAACTTATTTTGGTAATGCAAATTTGATACAGTATATTCCAATGACTTTATTTGGAAATATTACTCTTTTTTTTTGCAAAAGTGGAAGTGTTTTGAAGAAAATGAAAAAAATGAAAGAGAAATTGTTTTAAAAATGGAGGGAGTATATTGTATCCCAAGGGAAAGTTAGGGCATGTTTGGTTCCCAGAAAATGCTAGGGAAAGGGGAAAAAATATAAAGGAAAGTTGTTTTCTTTTATGTTTGACACTTTGACTGTACCCTATACAATGCAAATGAAAAACAATATGGTTAATATCTTCTTTAAGTTTACCACATTTAAATTTCCTAGCAACAAATAAGGCGAGTTTGAAATAACATATACCAAGTATATTGAGTTTGACTCTTTTTGCTCCATATTTTATTTCCTTCCAGTTATCCTCTATTTTTTGTCCTCGTTTTCTCTCCCTGGCATTTTCTATGTTTGAGACAAGCCTTGAATTTCCCCTCTTTGTTGATAACTTTCTTCATTTAGGTTCTGGATTGATACTGCTGATAAACAGCCTTGCATTGGTACTGGTGGCATGATACCATGGAAGCTTAATGTTACTGGCAAACTTTTCCATAGTGGTCTGGCTCATAAGGTGTCTTTTTTTCATTGCCAGCTTACAGATATCTTTTTAACTTATCTCAAATGTTAAGGGGAATCCCCATATTATTCACATTTGCTTTGATGCTAATAAATACCTGTGGTTTAAAGAAGAATAAGATTTATTGTAAACTGTCCAATTATTTTAGGCTATTAATCCACTAGAGTTGGCGATGGAGGCACTTAAAGAAATCCAATTGCGGTTTTACAAAGACTTCCCTCCCCATCCTAAAGAACAAGTATATGGATTTGCAACACCATCAACTATGAAACCAACACAATGGAGTTGTAAGTTCTTGAGCTCACATGGATTTGTTAAAAATATTTTTCACGCGCAAGTTGCCTTTGGGCTTTTCTTATCGTAACTCATTTTGTTTTCCAGATCCAGGGGGTGGTATCAATCAGATACCAGCTGAGTGTACCATTTCAGGGGATGTGAGGTTAGTTTTCTGATTCTCTCTATTGAAAAAAGCTCTCTAAGGAGCCTATGAGCTAAAAGGTCTTCATTTGAAATGGTATCTGACAGTCTTTGTACTTTGCAGGTTGACTCCATTTTACAGGTATAAGTTTTGCCTTTGTGTTTCTATGTTTCTCTCCTAATTCTGATCATCACATAGTTCTGTTCATTAAACAACACACATATGTCACAATTAATTATTTGCGGTAATATCATTGCCCAAAAATATGATATATATATATATATATATTAAAAAAAGCTTTTTTAACTTTTCAGTGTATCTGATGTGATGAAGAAGCTACAAGAATATGTTGAGGACTTGAATGCAAACATAGAGAAGCTTGATACAAGGGGGCCAGTTTCAAAATATGTGCTGCCTGATGAAAACCTTAGGGGCAGGTGATGCATTACTTATTTCCTAGAAAGGGCAGTGTTTTGTTGTGCCACTAACTAGAGTTGATCATGAAAGGATGTTCTCCAGATTAAGCACATAATATAAACTATGTTAACAAATAAGTTTCCAATTTCTCAAACCTATGCCTTTTCTTCTCCAGATTAAGCATAAGTTTTGATGAGGCAATGTCAGGAGTTGCTTGCAACCTTGATTCTCGCGGTTTCCATGTACTGTGCAAAGCTACTGAAGAAATAGTTGGGCACGTAAAACCATATTCTATCACTGGTAGTCTACCACTGATAAGAGAACTGCAGGTTATATAGTCTGACTTGTTTTTGTCTTTTACCTCCGTGCCATTTTTCATTTATGTATACACTGCTCACACTGCCTTCCAATGCATCCAAATGTACCACCATAAGTGTTCATATTACATTTGCAAATGAACATTCTTTAGAAGAAAAAAGCAATCATCATATTCCAAAGATAATTTGCCTTTTCACTACTTGTCGTGGTCTTCATGGAAACAATGTGCTCTATACAGTATGTTTGGTTTTCCTTCTTAATGTGTTGTTTTATGTTGCAGGAGGAGGGGTTTGATGTCCAGACATCAGGCTATGGTATTATTTTTTGTCTTGAGTTTGAATTTAGAAATGCTATCTCATTTATTCATACTCCCTCCGTCCAGATTCAATCATATTCTAGTCCCCTTTCAGGAAAAATAAAACATTTTAAGGAATGAACGTAAAATAACAAATGATTACGCGAACTGAGTTTGTCCTTTGTTAATGTTAACAATGCTAATTTGCATTGAAGGAGCATTTTCGTAATTCAAAATCATTTCTCTTACTAAATCTGTAAAGTGGACAAATAATATTTTCACACGTGGCTACAAAAAAAAAGAGACAACTGAATCTAGATGGGAGGGTTGTATTTTTTTTCATTCTCTTTCTTTTATACTTTCTTTTTCTTGTAACAAACTTGCAGGCCTAATGGCTACATATCATGCCAAGAATGAGTATTGCCTTCTCAATGACATGTCTCAAGGATATGGTGTCTTTGCAAGTATCATATGCCAGATGGAAGAATGACTTGCCATAACACACTGATTAAGAGAAAAAAGAATATGTATTGTCTACGTTTGTAAAACAGAGATTCGTTTCTCGATGTGGCATTGAGGGTGAACGACTTGTACCTTATTGGATTTCTTTATGAAACGGATTGGCTTGAGTTGAGGGAATAAAAGCGTACGTCTAACACCAATAACTTCATTAGAAATGGAAAATTTATAGATGGATATTAAGCATACGTATTCCAACCCGAGTTGACTTGGAGTATGTACGTTTTATATCCATCTATAAATTTTCCATTTTTGATGAAGTTCTTGGTGTCACACGTACGTTTTTTTCCTCAACTCAAGACAACCCGTTTCACAATGAAATCCAATAAGGTACAGGTCATTCACCCTCAATGCCACGTCGAGAAATGAATCTCCGTTTTGCAAACGTAGACAATACAAATTCCCTTAACAGATAAATCTTGCCATCACCTTAAAATATGCATTTAGGTTGACTTGCAATCAACATGAACACCTTCTTCTATCTCTATCAAATGAGTTAGATGGATCCTTGTATTAAGGGGAGACCCACTTAGGGACCCATGTGCCATAGGACGCAGTTTTAATATAATACATACTCTGCAGTCTGCATTTAGTGATACGGAGTACTCACCAATATGTATACACGGAATGCCTTGCCATGTCGCCTTAGTTTCAAGGAAACATGATGTCACCGGTTTGATTCTCCCATGGTGATATATTAACTTTTTTTTTTCTTATGAGATTTCTCAACCATTAGCCTTTGGCTTTATTGTTCTTTTTAGAACTTTCCAAATATTTCATCAGTTTGTGCATTTATTACTATATTATCCTCACTAAACAATTCTCTTTTCTTTTTCGTCAACTAAAAAAAATTATAGACAAATATTATGTGGTTGGAATTTAAATATATTTTTCTTACAAGTAATACTTTTCTAAAACTCTATGACAGTCAATCGTAAAAAATTATGATATGTATGAATTAATTCCTTCCGTCGAATTTAGTCATATGCTTGCTTATTTTCATTCTTTTTTGTGATAAGTTGTTGACCTTTTATATTCAAGTTCAATTTTTAAAATGAGTTTTTCTTATGTAATTTTATGTCTATTATTATTATTATTAGTATTATTATTATTATTATTATTATTATTATTATTATTATTACTACTACTACTACTATTATTGTTATTGTTATTGTTATTGTTATTATTATTATTATTATTATTATTATTATTATTATTATTAACTCTTACAATTGTGGTATTGTTTATATGCAACATGTTTTCTCAATTTATTGAAGCATTGAGAACTATCACATCCATTGAGGATTGAACCAGTAACCATGGTCATTAGGTTCCCATTTTTTAGTAGATTTGCTTCGTGTCCCGAATAGATCCAAGCTCTAATCCTAGAAGTGTGACATTTGCAATTGATCTGACTAAATAGTTAATGACTAAATAGTTAATGGGGTAGAGGATAATTGATGGAAAAATCCTCGATCTTGCCTCTTTAGCCTCTAATGACTCGAATTCAAGACCTTTTAAGGAAAAATTTAAGTATTGGAGGTGATGACAAAGTGGGTTGTACACACTCACGTAATGCATTGACAAAAATCTGCCATAATGCATGGACAAAAAAAAAATTGATGTGGGTGGAGTACATTTAGATCATCAGTTTTCGTTTTCTCTAACACTATGTTTGGTTCAAGGATTTTGAAATGGAAAAGAAAAGAAAATGAGATAGAAAATAGCATTTCATGTTTGGATAGAGAGGAAAAAAAAAGAAAAGTGGTAGGAAAAGGAAATGAGGGAACAAAATATATTAAGAGGAGGGAAAATCAAATTCCTCCCATTTTGGTAAGGAAAATGAGAGAAAACCATTTTCTTTTTTTTTTCTTCCAAATTTTTTGAACCAAACATAGTGTAAATATTGCTTAGAAAAGCAACTATGGAGTATATCTTAAGTAAAAACTTTATTAAGTAACTCTCAATAAAGATGCTTTTAACAATTCATACAAGGATTGTCTTAGTTTATACATTTTTTGCCCCCAAAAAAAATAAAATTGAGAAATATACATTATGCAAAGTGACTTAAAACTTCAAATGTTTTCAATTCAATTCAATTAAAGATTGATACAAATATAAGGTGACAAGAATATTTTATTTTAATTACCAAATAATTAATGAAAATGTAGAAATAAATATAAGTTCCTGTGATTTTAAAATTCCCTTCGTCCATAAATTTCTTTCTCACTTTCTTTTTTGAGATATCAAAAATTTCTTTTCTGTTTCTTATTTTGAAAAAAAGCTTTTAATGAATGTGTTATTATACTCTTACTTTTTCTCTACACTATTCACTTTATTGTAACGCATCAAGGGCAAGACATGAAAAGTTTTTATATTTTTAACCTTTCTTGATTTCCGTGTCAAGTTAAATTGGGAAAGAAATTCTTAAATGGAGGGGATAATATTCTTTTTGGGCTGAAGAGGATGTGATTCACTCTCTCTTACGTTTCTCCAACAGGGCACCTTCATTCACCCAAACAAGGGTATGTTCTTGTTCTCATTTTCTTGTATGTTGTCACTGTTGTATTAGGCATTTAGGCCTCTACATTATCAATATTGCTTAACCCTTTGGTTTATTATTGACAAACCATTTGTATTTTATAAGTTGTTTACTAATTTTTTTTGTAAAATGAATTAAATGAAAAATGGCCATTTGAGATATTCATAAAAGGTTAGGAATAATTGTAATTGATTTAGTCAAATTGGACAAAAATAAATAAATAAACTTGACAAAATAAATAGATAAAGATCAACTTATTATTCTGTACTTTCGACTTATAAGTACAAAAACATTGGTCATCAAGTGACTTATAATTTTATTCCTAACCTTTCATGAATGTCTCAAATAGCCATTTCTCATTTAATTGTATCCATACAATTTGATGGAATTTCAAATTGTATTTATCATTGTATAATATAGAGTTTGGTTTGGGTGGCGAACTTTATTACTCTCGTCCCACAAATATGTAATATAACAAAGAAGCCTTTTGAAGAGAATCAATGCAAGGGAAGATGAAATCAAGGAGCTAAGAGAGAAGATGAAAGATAATAAAGGCTGGAAGATGAGCCATGAATGGCTTGGTTTATATGTGTTGTGTGTGTTATTATAATTGTATGTCTCTACATTGTCTTGTTTTAAGTAATGCACTTTGTGTGTGTTTTGCATCCGTATACTTGGTTGTCCTTGAATGACACTATTGTGTTTCTTGCACCTGTTTATAAAGTGTTTTTTTACTCCATTAAAAATCATAATTTACCAAGTTAGGAATTGGCTCGAGGGAATATATGTTATTTAAATTTGATACACTAACAACAACAATCCAGTTGGATCCCCCCGACTGAAGTAGTACATAAAAATGATCATAATAGAACATAGAACAAGGAAAGCATAGCTACATCAGAATAAAGCTCCTAGCGCAAAGAATTAAAACTAAACTAAATTAAGTAAAGTTATGAAATGAGAGTATTGCAAGCAAATAGCGAAAAGCACTAAGCATAAAAGGCCTACAAAGCACACAACACCCTCTAGCTCAAGGCACCTACCCATCTACTCTAATCTTATCTTTTTAAACGCTCATATCTAAAGTCATATCCTCAGTAAAAGCAAAAAGTCCCAAGCCCTGTCTAATAACCTCATTCCCACTCTTCCTAGGTCTGCCCCTTCCCTTACCCCCCCTACCAATGTATGTCTCTCGCATCTCCACACTCGAGTGTCAGCATTTCACTGTACACAGCTTCCCGAAGATTATCTTCCACTAGTGTCATGCCTAACCGACCTCGAATAACTTCGTTTGGAATTCTATCCAGCCTCGTGCGCCCACACATCCACCGCAATATCCGCACCTCTGTCGTATGCAGATGCCACACATGAATCTTCTTAACCGCCCAACACTCTGCCTCATAGAGGATTGCTGGCCGGACTACAACGCTGTAGAACTTGCCTTTCATCCTGGGTGAAATCTTCTTATCGCACAACACTAATGAAGCCAACCTCTACTTAGCCCAAGCTGCTCTAACACAGTGCACAACATCCTAGTCGAACTCTCCATCTACCTGAATTACCAAGCTAAGATACTGAAACTTGTCAACCTTGGGCACAAGGTGAGAGTCAATCCTCACTTCCATCCTTGACTCTATCTCCTAGCCACTGAAACAACATTCCATGTATTCTGTCTTTGTGTAGTTTAAATCCTTTGGTCTCCAGGGAAAGGCGTCAAAGTTCTAACTTATCGTTTAGGCCCTTGCATGTATCACCGATAAACACAATAGCATTCAAAAAAGGTTTGGAAATCTTTGAATAATAAAATAGTTTTAATTAAAATTGAATAAGTTAAATGAAATAGAATGGTGAATTTAGATCTGAATTAAACTCCCAACGGCTAAAACATACTCTAAGACAATACAAAGAGGCTTGAAGGTGTTAGAAATTTGTTTGGAGGATGAACGGTGCGAAGGAACATTGACAGTATGATGAACAAAAAAACATATGAATTATGACTTGAGTGTTTAATGAATCGTGTAAATGCTTTGAGGTCAAAGTTATTTTGGGGTATACCAAAATACTTTAATGAAATAAGACGTTAATCGAGAACAAACACTTATAATTGTATCCTCAACCATACTAGCGAGACTCCATTTATAGAGTCAAAAATTGGAGACAGTCATGAACTATAACACCCTAATTCATCCAGGTTTGCAGCGCCTTCAGACTAAAGTATTAACTTGGTAACGTCAAAAATTTTAAACATTTCAAATTTTCATTTCAACACAATAAAATATTCATAACTGTAACAGAGCTTCATAAATTCGCAGAAGCTTAAATAATTGTTTCAACATCATAATCATCAAATACAAATTATTCGTTTTGAAATATTTATTAAAAAGTTGGAAATCATCACACGTCCTTCTGAAATCTCGTCCCCATCTGCCACCAAGATCAACATCACATCATTCTTTATTCTATTTACTGCGTGTAGCAAATAAAACATAATATACGCTTAGTGATGGAGTTGAGTGGGGATATCTAATATGTCGAAAATCCACATAAATAAAATCACAATTCACAATTAAATCATATGATATCATGCAAATAATATACAATTTAAATATTTAGTATTCA